TAATTTAATTGTGTCTATTATAAGTATTAAAACGGAGGCATCGCTTTTAGCCCTGGCTAAATCTATATTAAACATTAAACAGCCATAGACACTTCGTCCTAATACAGATCTAGAGTAACCTGGTCTGTCCGGACAGGTCTTCCCAGTTCCTAGTCTTGACGATCATTCATTTTCCCTCGCACTATTTCAAATGCCTTTAATGGCAATTATCCCAACCTGCTCAATTTATCTTTTGTCAAACGCAGGGGAATTCTCGTGGAATCGAAATTTTACGGACCCCAAGCAAGTTTAGACTGAAAAATATCGAGAGAGTAAATTTTGCATCCTCCATGAAACGTTGTCATATTAGCGCAGTCGTGCTGTGACAGAAAAGAAAATATACTACCATTTAAAGAATATCTCACTACAAACACCCCTTTAAGTCTAGAATTTGCCCCGGCAGTAACAGGCAAATCAAGACAGGAATTTACATTGATCGAAGTAAGCATGTTTTTTTAAGTATGAATTCTTTGAAATGAATAATAGAACATTTATTGAATCGGTTGATTATCATACGTTTCTGGGAAACTGCCCACCTACGCTTCCCCTAAGCCAACATTTTACCCTAAGTGAGAAGTAAGTGTTAATGTTGGCTTAGGGGAGGGGTAGGTGGGCGGTATAATGATCCGAATCGGTTTTTTTATGATCTGAAGAATAGCCCATTTTACAGTAACAGGTGAAAACGAGGCTGGAGTTGACCTCGTTTTGATACAAACCTTCTTGCTTTATTATGTAAATCAGGTTTTTCGTATGCTAACCGCGAATTTTTAACAATAATTTCCATAAGAAAAGAAAAGAGGTTTATATCAAAACAAGGTCAACCTTAGCCTGACGTCTTCTCAAAGGCTAGGATACTAAGCCCACAACTGCTCGGAAGTTGCACTCAGCCTCATTCAATAATTACGTACTAAGTATTTTTCCTTCCTTGTTCATAATATAACCCTAGCCTCCCACGTAGACAATCTTTTGGCTCGAAACACACATCCTCACCGGCTAAGAACGTCTGCGTGGGAGGCTATTTAATAATTATTCCTTGAGCCCTTATGGGCTATGAGTCAATAGCCCTTGAGGGCGAAGGCAAGAGGAAAAATTGTTTTAGTAAAATCCAACTAGTTGTTAAAAAATGTCGAGACAAAACAACTTTAGCTAGCTAAAGCTAGACTTTAATCATTTTTTGGCCACCAAATTGTAGGCGCTTTTCGCTACCAGTGGGCTATAACAAAAAAATAGCTCAACCAATCAGAACACAGCATGATAATAGACTACTAGCTGGATTTTACTAATATCAAATATATCGTATGTTTTTCTCTCTGACCGAAACGTTTTTCTCCGGCTTATAAATTGCGTTGCCTTTTTTCCCACAGAACGTTTTTGTTTGAGAAATGAAAAATCATACCAATAGATTTTATGCATGATCTTATTTTTTTATAATGATGATCAGTCGCCTTGAAGTCATAAGCGAGGACGTTTAAAGAATGGATGATCCTTTGCCTCTTAATTTATTTGCAAGAAACCTTTCCAATTCCGAATTATAAAGTCGAGCTATCTAAAGCGAACCTAGGGTTAGATCACGCCCTAACCATTAGGTTTCTCGTGAATCAATCAATCAATCAATCAAAGGGCACACGTAACTACAAAACGGCGAATACAGCTGTTAAGTTTATATATGTTGAAAAATATTCAATGTTTCCATAAAATGGGCGAGAAAATCGATAAAAAATGAGTGACTGAGCCCACCTGCACGGATCAAAGAGACAAGAAAGGTAAAACAATAACTCGAAAACTTAAGGGAATAAAATGAGAAAAGATGCGTAGTTAATATTAATTTATTTCCTAAAAAGAGACAGAAAATGCATAAATTGAGTGGCCGCACCGTGTCGGTGCTGACCAAAACCAACAAATTTCTTATAATGAGTTCTCACTGTTGATTCAGTGGTCGGCTGAGTTGAAAAAGGTCGTCATAAAGTTTCCTGATCAAACTTTGTCACTCATTTTGGTTTCACATTTTCAGAATAGTTGACAGTTAGATGACTTTACTATGGCAGCAATATTATTAATAATTAAAAATGCATGATTTGTTTATTGGGAAAAACTAAAGTGGGAAAAACTGAACTAACATAGGATCAGATCAAACTGAAGTGGCTGTTCTTCCTAAGAAAGGAAGAGCAAGAATCATTGGTTTATCATCGTCATTAACAATAGTAGTTAATAAATGATTTATTCCCACACACATTCTTACCTACTTTTCCCTGTCATTTTTTTTAATAAAGAAGAAATTTTATTAATAACAATGCTAACTATTAAAATCCTATTTACAATTAATTCGCTTAAAAAAAAGAAAAAACTATTCATTCAAAAACACTATTTACAATTCCCGTCGAATTAAAAAGCACTTAATTTAGCTTAAAAAAAGTTAATGTAACTAAGAAAAATTTTTTCGAATTAAAAACATTTCATTTCAATAATAAAAAAAAAACTGTCAACCTCTAAAATTCAAAAGTTTTTTTTT